CAATGGTCGAACCGAAAACCTACAAAAATCTGGTTCTCCAGCTATTCTTCTGGGAAGTAAACCGGCGGAAGTGGGCAATTTGGGCCAGGGTTCAAAAGGATGGACTTTCAGAAAGCGAGTGCAACTTGTAACACATGTATTTGCATCGTGAACGCAGTTTATTTCTCTTCCGGAGTTATCTGTCCCAAAGGCTGAAGAAAACACGATTAGCTGTTTTGAATGGTAAACAAGAATTGTCTCTGTGTCCTTCACGAAATCATTCCTTCACGTTCCTCTGTAAAAAAAAAACGAAGCAATGATAAAATAATGTAAGCTTGGATAATGCTTTATGAGACCATTGTGTCTGTACTCGCCCTTTCCATCAGAAATGTAATTCCTGAACATCTTTATTGCTGAAAGATTTTATGCTAAATGTTTCTATCCATGGGTTAAATTTCAAGGAGTGAATGAATTTCGATTCACAAAAATGAATTTCAACATATGTGAAATCTTTAAAGCCATTTGTGAATTGAAATTCATTCATTTCCTGAAATTCATTCATTTTTATTCATTCATATATTCATTTCATAAATTTTTAAGATATTTTCTAATACTTTCTAATTATTCATAGAACTGGACTTAGCCGAATCATAAATAGTTATCATGAAAACATATGGAAAATTCCGATGCATATGCAGCATTCAAATTAAAGGGTGACAAATTAATTAATTATCTACAGAAAATTATTTATCACTCGTCAGAAATTTATTTTGGTTTGTCGTTTTTCGCCAAATGTGTATAAATTAAACTGTAGTTAAATTGTTACAAATTTCCCTGAAATTTTGAGTATATTTCTTTATATTTTAAAAGAACGATTTCCGGTAATTAATATTTTTTTCAAATTACTTTCCTCTCTTAACACAGAAATTGGTTAATAGAATCTTTTCCCCCACCAATGACTAAGCAGACCACTGAACTCTGGTAGTTCGACTCGGGATCTAATCCCGATGAAAGGACTGTATTCGGACTGCATTTTCATGATTTTCTCCATTTTAATGTATTTGCTAGTTAATATGGTAAACAGACTTCGCATGCGTTTTCTTAATTAACTTATCTAATATTTTCTGGCGATAAAATTACGTAGCTTTACCCGCGGCTGAATCTGAGGAAATAATTTGCTTGAATACAAACTTTCCTAAAAGAACTCATAAAATGTGCTTGAGATCTCACAAAAAATGAATAAAATCCTAATTGTTTCTTCTCAAAATATTTTTACTCTTTGCTAAAATATATGGCAAAATATTAAATAATGGCACAAATGATATGAACACAAGAATACAGCGAAAATACTAAGTATTTTTACTCTTTGCTAAAATATATGGCAAAATATTAAATAATGGCACAAATGATATGAACACAAGAATACAGCGAAAATACTAAGTATTTTCATAGTTATAGCTTAAGTTTGTAGTCATAACCTCATCGCTAAAATCATAGATGCAAAAATAAATCTATATTTACAGGTTATAAAAATAGATAAATCCTAAAAGGGAGTGAAGATGTAAAATGTAAATTCCATCGTAAATTTACAAAATATTTATAAGAATTTTATCTATGTTGTTGCTGCTAATCTCACCTTCCGATATTAACCATAGAAATAAACTTCATAAAAATTATTTTAAAATACATTTGCTGTTGTCGTCAATCATCGTCATCGGGTAGAAATGTTAACAGCACCAATTTACTTCGCTCTATCTCAAATTTTTATTGAGAACATCTATACAGAGGGATATAAATACAGGGTGTTTATAAAGTCCCGGACCCATTTTGATGTTTAATAACTCATAAAATAATGAAGATATCAACAAACTTATGGCATTTATTGATGGAATATCTTAAAGATTTTCCTTTTCAGGTTTGAATATCTTTACTTTTGTAAATATCGTCTGCGCGTGTGGTTCATTTCAGATAATTTCATTTTCCAGTCTAAATATCTATACTTTTCTAAATATCGTCTGCTTATTAACTGCATTTTTCTCTCTTCTGTGTTTGGCAACTATTGCAATGTTGTGAATTTTTTCCTTTGGGATTTGTAAAGAACAACGTAACGTTACAGGAGGAGAGTGTCGAACATGGATGACCTAAAAGCCAGAATTATAACCACAATAGCCTGTGTGGATGTCGACATGCTTGCCGGTACCTGGCGTGAAATTGAATATCGACTTAATATTCTCCGTGCGACGAAGGGGGCACACGTGGAAGTTCATTGGCAAGGATCATGAAACTTTTTGAGTCTATCTAACCATTTATGTTATTAATTTTAATCTACCTTTATTATTTTATGAGTTATTAAATATCAAAATGGGTCCGAGACTTTATAAACAACCTGTATATTGGAATACCGTGGAAATATATATTAGAGTACACTGAAAATATTCTATAACTACCTACTCCTACCACCAAATTATAGAAAAAAAAATTCACATAGATATATTTTGATTGCTGCACTTCGTTAAGTCTCTGCAAGGAAAATTTAATATGAGATTCAAAATCGCTAATGACTGATCGTTACGCTAATGAATCGCAGGTTTGGAAATGATATTTTAAATTAAGATTAATGCAGAAATGAATTTTGCTTTCGCCGCAGCTCGCTAGTTTTCTATAAAATTTAATCTAAATAGTTATCTCTAAATTATATAAAATACTTTCCAAATTTATTATATAAAAATGTAATAATGAGAACCCATAACAATGAAAACTAGATTTTCATGCTTAAAACCAAACACCCAATTACAGTGTAACCTTTCGGTCGAAAAACAAAGTTAATTTACGTGATTATGCAAACAAATGAGCACATGCTTTTTGTGTTTTACCAAAACGCAAAAACTAAACGCTGTATGCAAAAAATGATTTATGTAAACACTTCCGTCTTAACCTTGACGAAGAAACAAAACCTGTTTTTATTGATACTTTTATCCTATTCTGCTTGTGAAGGAGTCTGTCGCATCATTATATGAATCGAAGAAAGTTAAAAATCCATCAGAAACACCCAAATTACATTTTACATTCAAATAAAATTTAAAGATAATTCTTTTAACATTGTACTGAAACCTTCATTCATAAACCTTTATTGAAAAATCTGATATATACACCACATGACTTCCTTGTATTGGAATATTATACGCATTTTTTCTTGCATTTCATTTAACTTATTGGATTGAATTAAATCTACTTCGCCGACAGCGCATAAACCACAATAGAATAAATGCATTCTTTAAAATCCACTCTAGTATTTGTTTACCATAGCGACACTCTGGCGCTAGATACACTTAACAGTATTAATAATTATATAACAGTTAACTTATATAATAATTTTATAACTAACAATTTAACTGTTAAATAATCCAATAATTATAAGTTAACTGTTATATAATCCAATAATTATATAACAGTTAACTTATATATTTCGTTCATATTATAACTCATAATGCACAAAATTTATATCATTTAAAGAATAGAATTATGTAATCGTCGCCACATGTTCTATTCAAATACTATAATAAAGCTAGAATGATGTATAAAAGAAATTAAACAAACAAAACAAAAAAGAAACAGTTTTCACAGACGATTGAATATTTCTCATTCAATTAATTCAGTTCTCACTTCGCGAGAAGGTAAAAATACATAAAAACTCAAAATATCTATATTAAAAATTACGAAGTAAATCTTAAACGCTTATTTCCACGAAAAAATTCCAGAACGGATTAAGCATGATTTAAATAAAAAAATGAAAGCGTTATCTTTGTTGTTGCGAAGCTAAGTTTCTCTAGATTGGCAACAAATCCACTAGTCTCCTGTTTGAAATGTAAACATCAATGGCCGCCATTAAAAGAGGCTTAGCGGCAATTAAACAACTTTAAAATTGCTGATAATTCTAAAAATATTGCACACAGATTTACTAAAGACATAAAATCATTAACCTGAAGATAAAAACAACGTAATTCAATCATTTTTAAAGCAAAAAATGTACAATTTACCGACATATAAGAGTAAAGAAACTGAGATCACTGAGCCAGGTAAGAGAGTGGATATATATATAAATATATTTATATACGTTTGGTGCGGCCGATCGCAACCAAAATACGAGGTGCACATCTACGTGTTATAGCAGTCCTATATACAAAATTTCAACTTTCTGAGGCTACTCGTTTTTGAGTTATGCGAGATACGTACGTATGCACGAACGTACGTACGTACGTACATACGTTAGTACAGACGCCACAAAAAATTCTCTTCAGAATTAATTTTAATGCAGTTTTATAATTTTTCTGCAGGAAAAGAGTATTTTATTCTGTTTTTACGTACAGATATCACGCAAAGACATCGTTAAATTGCATTCGATAGCGGTCAAAATGGATATTTTCGTTGTAATATGCTGCCTGAAACTTTTCGCGATTACAATACTTCCTTTTTACTTCGTAGAAGGAAGTAAAAATGAAGGAAATTTGACTTATCAGACTGTCTTAGAAAAATATAGCACTGTTCTAGCAATTTCAAAGGTAAATTTCTTTCATTTTATTAACCTCTTGTTAAAATAATATTATCAAGGATATAGATCAGTCTCTCATGTTGTCTCAAACTTTAATTTTATCAAAATGCTTGAAATAATACATAGGAACTTCCAAGAAAATCTTAAGACTTGCTTTCTGTATCTTATACATTTTTAGTTCTAAATCTTACTTATTATATGTTAATCCAACTTTAAATCAACAACTGTCGCAGTTCTTTGCTTTACATTCCTTCATCAATAAAATTTGCAGTTTACACTAGTTAACCACGTAACGGTGAAATCAAGAAAGAATAGAAAAGATTTAATTAACACCAGATTGCACATGAAGATAGCAAATATATTTATGCATAAAAGAAAACAAGCCTTATGTAGAATGATGGAAAATAATATATTGTTTTCGTAAATTATACGATAACGCCCGTTTGAGTCATTAACAAATTGATGCGTAAAGCTAAAAACAAAGAAAACTTTCATTAGTAAAGTATGTGAAAACGTCAGACCTTCATGGAAACTTTACAGCTTTTGACCATTCTTTCAATGAGGTGACCAATAATCGCTGGTGGAGCCCGACCTAAAAGATGGTGGACGATAATTTCTTTCCATCAAGGTTAGCAATTGAATTCTGCTTCTCCAATCGCCCTTGTATGTAAGGTGTATGAATGTAAGGTTTTTCTGGTATAACTGAAAAATACGTCCGGCAAATATTGGAAGGTCCAAAGTTCTTGACACGGTGACAGCTATGTATATTTTTCTCATTTCCTACTTTGATAAATTTGATGACGCTACAAAACAATAACAGATTATGCGTAATGCACCAATCTTTAAAATAAAATAAACTATGATGTCTACACTCTGGTTACAATACTACAAACAAAGATACTTAGAATAGAATACAGAATTAGAACGTAGAATAGAAACATATATATACAACACTGTAGAGACATTAGGTATTTTTGGGAAGCAAGAGATGAAAAATTAGCAACGCCTTCGCCGGGAATCGAACCGCAGACTTCTGAAATACGCGCCCAGCGTGCAGACCACCACACTACGAAGGCATGTCAAATACCTAATAACACAACAAAATAATAGTATACAATAAATATAATACTTAAATAAGTAATGTAATAAATGAAATACGAACATAAATTTTTAAATACAATAAAGATACGATATATATTTACAGTGAAGATGCACTTGGAGTATAGATACAGCAAAATTCTAGTATCGTATGAGCATTGCGAGAAAGCGATTAATTATTTTATAAACAATAGCACATACCTTCAAGAACAAAATTTAATTTAAAAAGATGTACAATGAGTTTTTAATGCTTTTTTACTACACACTTACAGTAAGAATTACATTAAATTTAATATTTACACTAAATTTGACGTCGAATATTAAATTAGAGTAACGATAAATTCAACAAGGCAATTCCACTACTGTTCAGCTGATATAATATTAAAAATTATGTAACTTTCATTATTATAATTATTAATTAATTCATTTTTTTCATATATTAAATTTTAACACACGATTTGAAGAGAATTCATTATTTCTAACAATTCTTTTCTGTCTTTTTTTAACACTCTTCCGACAATGTAATGTGGATTTTATACCGTTTCTACTACCTTCCTGTCTATTTGCTTCCTATGAAACAATACTGGACAATTATCTCCAAAGAATTTTGAATGGGTTTAACGTATCCTAAACAATCTTTTACTGAGTTTTACTTATCTTAAATATTGTGCACAGAATCAGGATTAATTGAAGTGTTTCTACATTGCCAAATTCGTCTTCGAAATTTCTTGCATCAAGATGTTCGCTGGAAACAATAGAATTTCTTCTGCTCCAAAATTATTACATAGATATAGAAAATCACAGATATATCTTAGGTTGGCAAGTAATTTAACTAAAACAATGATAAGTAATTTATTAAAACAAAATGATTATTGTGGATAACGACCTTTAAAAAGCGGTGTGTTTCTGTTTGAGATATATTCAAGGATGTACAGGAAATCATGGAAATAACCACGTAAGAAACCAATCGATAGACGGAACGTGAATCCGCAACGAAATGCCTATACTAGAGAACTTCCCCTTTCGGTTATTGACAAGCTCCAATTTTTTCCCTAGAACTAACATATGAACTTATAATATCTTTTGGAGAAAAAACAAACTGCATAAAATATTGGGGGAAGGGATTTTGTTTCACGGAACAGTTTCCTCTATCATCACCCGTCTTTAGATATGCTAATTCTCTTGTAAACTCTATCGCATGTTTATCCGAAATATTTAAGATAAATAGTAGTTAGATAAATAACTACTATTTATCTTAATTAATTAGGATAAAATTCGGAGAACGCTTTTTTTTTCCCCAAAAAAAGATGTAAAAGCAGAAGTAATGTTTAATGAAATACGAGTAAGCAAGCAAAAAGCATAAATGCCTTTGAGTAGGATTTTCTAAGCGAAGCTGGATCTTATTGATTAAAGCAGAAATAAATGAATAACACAATGTAAAAAAAATCTGATGTGGACACCACATGGCTCCCTTTTATGGCCTATTGTAACCAATCCTTTAACATAAACTGTTGGACTAACTGTGGCAACAAGGCTGCCCTCTGGTGAGTAGCCAGAGAAGTACTTCAGTAAAAGCCAAGGCTCCCACTAGATAAGTTGTACCAGACTGTTGCTCTGTAATTTTCCTTAAAGTTAAATGTAATGTTCGCCGTGTGTAACTTAAACCTGTTAATAAATATTTGTTACACTATACCGGACTCTTCTATGACCCTATCTAAAACGACCCCTTTACACTATTAAATTATACACATTTTTCCTACATTTCATTTAAACGTATTTCCTGAAATTTTATTAGTGATATATTTCTCCTTCAATTAATTCAGTTCTCACTTCGCGGTGAAGCAAAAATACATAAAATCTCAAAACATCTTCATTGAATATTGTAAAATACAGAAAAAAATAAAACACCAAATGCGGTTAAAACAGTTAAAAAAAAACAATTGTTACAATAAAAATTAGAGTTTCTATCCAAAAACAAGTATTTCGGCCAGCGTACAAGAAGGTAGATGTTTTTGGTGCACAAAATTGAAAATTTACTTTTGATCCGACTCGGCAAAAAGTCATAGAAGTTGCAAAACTGACTTTATTCTCTATTCAACTGAGTTTCAAATGTAAAGAAATGGCATTTCATTAGGCTTAACTCGCCAATTAAACTTTTAAATTGTTGATAATTCTACAACTATTGCATGCGTATTAACTAAAGGCATGAAATCCTTAACCGGAACATAAAAATCATATAATTCAATCACTTTTAAAGTAAAAAATGCATATTTTACCAACATATAGGGATAAAAAACTAAGCCCACACATTCAGGTAATAGAATGTCAATATATATATATATATACGACTGGTGCAGCCGATTGTAACGAAATAAGGAGTTTCACAACTACATGTTATAGCAGTCCCGTATAAAAATTTCACAGTTCTACGGCTACTCGTTATTAAGTTATGCGAGATACATACATATATACGTATGTACGTACGTACAGACGTCAAGGGAAAAAATCTCTACTGTATCTATTTTAAATCCATTTTACAATGCTTTTTGGCAAAAACACTGTCCTTTATTCTGTCCGTACGTATGCCTGTCACGCAAAAACATCGTATAAATGGTTTCGAGAGAAGTTGAAATGGATATTTCCGTTAAAATATGATATCCGAAATTTTTCGCGATTGCAATACCTCATTTGCTTCATACAAGGAAGAAAAATCGGTGTGAATTATAATTTATTAATAAAGAATGAACATCCAAGATACTTACGCATAATGCTTAAAATAGCTAAATCTCTCCACCGTTTAATAAGGCCTTAGTGTGTTCTGAGACCACTTATCTCTTCACATGCTTATGCATTTAGCCTGAAAGAATGAAACCTTGATGAAATCTTGATAAACAAAAAATTTTAAATTACCCTCTTTTAAGCTATTACAGTTTTTTACATTTTTTCTAATAAGCAGGATTCCAATCAAATAAAGTTCGGTTAAGCGAGTTTTACTATGTGAGCTATATTTTTTGGGAATATGATGAATTTTCACCATAAAAGCTGCTCTAAAACTAAACTTCTTAATACCAAACCGAAGTTAAAAATGTAATCACTATGTAAAGCTTCGGTAATGTGCACAAGAACCAAAACATTCTCCAAAGCGTAATGAGTGTAATGAGTTCGGATAATTACAAGCAAGGAACTAGTTTAATCTATAACACTTACACCATTAGAAGTAAATATAAGCTAGAGTTATTGTGTGTAAAACTGGATATGGACAATCGTCCTTTGATTAACTCTAATTATAGGCAGTGCTCATTATAAAATCTAATTATTTCTCTTTCATTTGGGCGAGTTTTATCTGATCTTTAACTTTCACTTTGCTTGACATCTAAAATATTAAGCAAATACTCGTTTATCATTAAGCTGGAAAATTTCAAGTACATCAACTTAGTCATATTCTTAAACTATACAAAGTGACAAACGAAGGCCACGTGAGCTTCTTGGATACAGATAGCCTTTGTAGGCAATAAATAATTAATCAACTACTAAACTGTACGCACTTCTTATTCTTTTCTCGCAGGCTAATTTGCATTTTCCGGAAAGGATGGGCGTAGTTCGTAAATACAAGAGTAGATATGATAGCTTAATTAAAATCGCCAGCTATTAAATGAAAATTAAAATAAGTACTTACAAATGTAGTACGCAGCAGAAATAATAATTACAGCAGAAACAACTATCTGACTATGCAATTAAAATATAGTTCAGTTTCCACAAATGAATTTTTCTGAATTTTTTTTATCTTAATTATTTATTATTTTATTTATTTTTATCACTTTTAATTACTAAAACATTATACCAAGTCTGATAAAACAACTTAATAACCTTAATTAACTAACAAACTGTTTAATAATTAAAAATTCAGTTCCCTTTAATAATATAATTACTTCACATAATGAAATTTATCTGTTCCTCTTTTGTGTTAGTAATTTCTCTTTAATTATGTGAAATCTATAATTGCTCACTTAAAATGCTCATTTTTTCATATTTTTCAAATCGACTAGTTAAATACTTGTGAAAAATAATTTTTTAAACATTATTAATTAAAATAAAATATACTGACTATGATTATTCACTTTAAACCGAGGTAATGTTTCTAAAAACATTGTTTAATCTACACTATTCCCTTATAGCATTTGCCGGAACACATGGAATGGTCTACAAAATTGAAAACTATTTTAATGAAATCAGTTAATTAATTGAAAACATATAATGATATACATAATGGTAAACATACAAGGATATATCACGATAAATTTTGACGGAAAATGTTTGGTGGGACAAAATGATCTTGAGTCACTATTTCATATTTAATGATAAAACAGGGAGATTTCCTCTGCATGGACATTGCATAGCGCAGAGACAAATAGCGCATAATACTAAATACAACACTTCAAGTTGTCCAGCGGTGACGGCGGACACTTTCAAAGGACATTTTAGCAAATTGGTTTAGGCATTGCTGTTACTATTATTATAGAATTGAGACATGCTTTGCAAATTTTTCTCATCTACCTTCACTTAACAAGTAACCTAATATTTTCAAAATTTAAACAGCTTTAACTGCTGGATAGTGGTGGGAAAACTCTTGAATAACATTTATTCCAAACCCGTATAAGATAATTTACAAATTTTTGGTGTTTTCCCAAATATCGTTTTATTTTTTCGATCATTATTCTCCCCATTTTTTTTAATTTCTTCATCAGATAATGCATCTTTCGTAAAATTTTAGAATTTACATATATTGTAAAAAAAAAATTCTGCGCCTCTTAAAAAAAGAATCTGATGTGTACACCACATGACTTCCTTGTACGAAATATTAAATTATACGCATTTTTCTTGCATTTCATTTAAACTTATTGGATTGAATTAAATCTACTTCGCCGACAGCGCATAAACCACAATAGAATAAATGCATTCTTTGAAATTCACTCTAGTATTTGTTTACCATAGCGACACTCTGGCGCTAGATTCACTTAAAAATTATTACTGTAACTAAATTTGTATTACTGTCAGTTTGCGCGCAGTGCTTCAGTACAAATTTTAAATTTTCGGAAAATACAGTTAGTTTTTTCTTTATAAAACAAACTCTTATACACTATTAAATAAAATAAATTAAGAAAGATAATTATCTATGTATAAAGATGACACACTGAAAATTTCATATATGTATGACAAAAAAAAATTTGACTTATTAAAACTCGAAAATCAGCAAAAATTCTCACTTTTTTGTGTTGCGCAAAAGTGATGACTCCCCTTCAGTATTATATATCAGGGCCTACCAGCGGCCAAGCGGTAAAGTCGCTGAACACTGGTAGTTCGGTCCGAGGTTCGAATCCCGCGAACGGGCTGGCTGCATGGGTGTTTTCGTGGTTTTCCCCATGTGTAACGTGTATACGAGCCAGTTTCCCTTAGAAAGTCCTCCACGAAGGCATCCCTCCCCTTAGGCAGATAGCCCTAGTGTGCTTTGCCATAATTAAATACACCAACACCAACACCAGTATTATATATCGCTCATATTATAACTCATAACGCACAACATTTATATCATTTAAAGAATAGAATAATCTAATCGTTGCCACATGTTCTATTGAAATACTATAATAAAGCTAGAATGATGTATAAAAGAAATTAAGCAAACAAAACAAAAAAGAAACAGTTTTTCACAGACGATTGAGTATTTCTCTTTTAATTAATTCAGTTCTCCCTTCGCGAGAAGGTAAAAATACATAAAAACTCAAAATATCTATATTAAAAATTACGAAGTAAATCTCAAACGCTTATTTCCTCGAAAAAATTCCAGAAGAATTAAGCATGATTTAATTGGCAATAATAAATGAATGCATTATCTTTGTTGTTGCGAAGCTAAGTTTCTCTAGATTGGCAACAAATCCACTAGTCTCTGTTTCAAATGTAAACATCAATGGCCGCCATTAAAAACAGGCTTAGCGGCAATTAAACAAATTATAATTTAAAATTGCTGATAATTCTAAAAAATTGCACCCAGATTTACTAAAGGCATAAAATCCTTAACCGGAAGATAAAAACAGCATAATTCAATCATTTTTAAAGCAAAAAATTTACAATTTACAAACATATAAGAGTAAAGAAACTGAGATCACTGAGCCGGGTAACAGAGTGGATATATATATAAATATATTTATATACGTTTGGCGCGGCGGATTGCAACCAAAATACGAGGTGCACATCTACATGTTATAGCAGTCCTATATACAAAATTTCAACGTTCTGAGACGCCACGAAAAATTCTCTTCAGAATTAATTTTAAAGCAGTTTTATAATTTTTTTGAAGAAAAAGAGTATTTTATTCTGTCCTTACGTACAGATATCACGCAGAAACATCGTTAAATTGCCTTCGATAGGCAATTTAACGATTTGGAAATGGATATTTTCGTTGAAATATGCTGCTTAAAACTTTTCGCGATTACAATACTTCCTTTTTATTTTGTACAAGGAAGTAAAAAAGATAAAAAAGTACATAGGCTGTTTTTAGACGACTTTTCTTTGCTACAAAAAAAATCGCCTTTCCGGGAAAAATGTTTTTTTAATTGCAACTATATTTTTGAAAGTATAAATTATCGTGTGCTGTTTGATAATTTTTATTTTCATTCAAAATGGCGGTTTTAAACAAGCAATGGACGGAAGACTATGTTTGAGCTCTTTCCGACGAAAATGATTCGTATTTAGTTATTATAAAATGTTGTGAAAGCCATGATTTTTTCAGTATCTAAAGCAATGATAAATAATATTGTCAATAAGAGAAAGGGGAAGTCAATGTTTGGCTTTAAGAAGAAAAGTTGTTCAAAATACATAGACAAGGAAAAGAAGAATGTTGCAAAAGTAAGAACTTTAATGTTAAAAAATTTTTTTCGAATTCAAAGAAGAGTTGCATAATCACTAAAATTCTCAGTGTCAACTGCAAACAAAGAGATTAATGCTGAAGTGAAACTTAAAAAGGCGAAAAAAATAAAATGCAATGTGCATTGTCTCTGTCCACAACATATCCGCGAAAGCAAAACGCGCAGTAGAATTCTCTCTGAGAAACAATTATTCGGATAAAATTGGAAAAATGTTGTCGCAATAGGTGAATCTTGCGTATGTTTAAATGACTGCAATAAAAAGAGATCCATTTATTATTATCAAAGAGGAGAATAAATCTTAAAAAACATGCCTCAAAGAATCTAAAGTAAGTTTTTCAAAAGACTTGTGATTGTTTCTGGTTTTTAATATAACGAAAAATAAAATTAAAGATAGCGCAGAAAACTATTAAGGTCTACTCCACGTATTATCAGGAATACTTTTTATACCAGTTTCAAATACGAAATACCTTTTCTTTACCCATAGTGCCATGAATTAGTAGAACTGCATTAAGCAAGTAGACACACGTCAAAATACACTGTTAATTTCCTGGGAAAATGGAATAAGAAACATCATATCCATAATAAATCTCCTGATATATCATCAATAGATTTTTGTGCTTTTTTAAAAGCGGATTGTTCAGATGTCAGTTTACAACCCTCCTTGGACTTCAGTAAAAGATGCTTCAGGAACGTTGTTCAAAAGGAATAAGATAAAATACCTTTTCAACTACTAAAAAAAGATTTTATTGGCTTTGAAATTATGGTGTAGTAAGATAGTGAAGACTAAGAGTTATCAAATGAAACATTTAAAACATAAATTTTTAGGTAAAATATTTCTGTAAATACAATGAAAATTGGCTGAAAAATTATGCAAACAACCTTAGTATTAATAGGTGATTTTCTATAATTTCTTTTAAAAGCATCCAGAAGTATATTA